GGGTTGTTGGGTTGGGTTTTTTTTAACCTGTTTATTTTGTTTCTTGTTATAACGGTTATTGTATCGATGCTTTAATCAAAACTCCAACCTCTAACCGTGGGTGCTCTGGTGTGGTTTGCTTCTTCTTTCCTATCAAACATCTATCGTCCTTATCTCCCCTCCATCTTTTTTTGTTTATTACTCTCTTGTAACTCCTAATCTTCTGGCGCGCATATGACCTTATACAGTTGCGAGCGCCGTAAAACCTCTACTAAAACATATGACCTTATTGTGTTGCATGTACCGTAAAACTTATTTTAAAAAATATTTAATCAATGAATCATTTTTCTGAGCAGACGCCCACCTAACTTGCAGCAAGGTCCTGGTGGTAATTGGCCTCATTTCCGGTGTGCTGTCCATCATGCTGACCATCGTGTACGAGGTGTCTGTGGACTTCCCCATCACACATCTCGTCGACATTGTTCACAAGTCTTTGCAAGGGACAGCCCTGGCAGGTAAGACTTAAATTGAGTCGATTGTGCCGTAAAACACCTACTCAATCAATCAAAGATGAGACTTTGAGTCGAAACTTTAAGTTTCCGTATGAGATACTTTGAACATAAAGATATTAACAGACTCTTTGACTTCGTCGATCCAAGAACGATTCTAATATTGTATAATTTCAGTCATGTTTTGAGGGTTCGAAAAGTTCCAAAGACCAAATCTGAGTCGATAGTGCCGTAAAACGCCTACTCAAAGTTCCAGCATAATTCAATTAATTCGCATGGTCATAATTCCTGAAGCTCATCCCGTCCTTCCCTTTCCATTGCCTACCGCTCGTGTCACAACGCAGCGGAATCAGGCGCTCCTCATTTCCTCATTTTTTGGGCATGTGAAGTTACTGGTATCATCTTAGTTTGTTCATTTACCTTGCCTTTGGGAGGGAAATACCCATCTATCTTGAATAGAAGTCGAGCTATTTGCAATTGAAGGTGGGGTTCGCCCTGTTCAAAAGTGAAATTAGCCAGAAAATGACCGCCAATGTATGAGGAATTCCATAGTTTGAAAGTCCTTGAAAACTGAAAAATTATAATTTCTGTGCCATTAATGTAATCTATAAGTTTGTTTAAATAATAAAAATTCAGTTTTGAAATGGACATAAAAGGTGCTGGTCGAAAATAGAAAAACCAACAAACAAATCCAATACAAATTGTCACAACGTCCTAAAAAAGGGCGTTTATTTGTTGGCAGTGTTTTGACTAAGTCTATTTCACCACTCTGCCTCACATTTTTGTTTCCTCATTTTCAGCCTTTTTAGGCTACGTCATCAGCGCATTTTTCTCCCTGGTGGGCTTGATCGTCTGGGTTGTCGGCGTGTTTCCCGGAAACTCAAGATTCCAACTTGGCTACTCTGTGGTTTTCCTTCTGACCAGCTGTCTCTTGGTCTTCCTGGGCAGTGTGGTCATCAGCCACGGCGTCGTGAGACAGATGACCTTCCACGAAAACCTCGAGGAGGGATTCCCCTCTGCCAACAGTCCAAACAGTTCCGGTAACCGACCGGAGCTGGAGATCTTTGTGCCCCCGGAGACTGGCACTCTCAGACGTCGGACAGACGCGAACCGCATGTTTCCCGAGTTCAACCAGTTCACCCAGGTGAGGGCGACGCCGAATGATTACGTGGCCCTTCCTAGAGAAGAAATCGAGATGCAACCTCTTATGATCCCAGAGGACAATTCAGAGGACAACTCAACGTCAAATGCTGAAGAGTCAAACAGTGAAGATGGTCTGAATAGTTCGGACAGTCTGCCGCTGGAGGAGCCCGGGATCTTTGAGCCGCTTGTCGAGACCGAGTCAGGCGGTGGCGCTGCCGTTACTGTTCAGCCTGGACAACGTGGAAAGAAGCTGGTGCAAATGAAACGATTGGCTGATCACCAGAGACGTTTTTCGGGGACGAAACAGTTAAAATCTCGACTGGTTGTCCAAACATCTCAGATCGAAGAACTCCCAGAAGTACCAGAAGCTTCAGAACATGAACACGAAAACTTTGAAGAGGAAAAACAGGAAGAGGAAAAACAGGAAGAGGAAATGCCGGAAGAGGAAATGCCGGAAGAGGAAATGCCGGAAGAGGAAATGCCGGAAGAGGAAATGCCGGAAGAGGAAATGCCGGAAGAGGAAATGCCGGAAGAGGAAATGCCGGAAGAGGAAATGCCTAAAGAGGAAATGCCTAAAGAGGAAATACCGGAAGCAGGGAAGCAGCAAATTGCTACAGCCGAGACCCCCAAATCTCCAACGGTTGCAGCCGAGACTCCTAAAGCTCAAACCCCCAGATCGAAAATCCCACAACCTCTTTCCCCTGTATCAAAAGTCACCCCAAAATCTCTCGCCCACAGAGGCCAGAGCAGCTCATCCCCGGCGTCCACACCGCGGACCCCAGAGTCTGATACTGGGAACTTCAACATTCCAAAAGCAACTCAGCGACCACAGTCGCCGTGCACCCAGCAGCCCAAACCCCTGCCACCGGTGTACACATCCCCTTCACGGAACGGCCTGGTCCACCAAATCAAGTCTTTGACTCGGCCAAAAAGCTCAAAGCCGGACCAGGATGTTCGTGGTATTAGGACAGTTCCTGAACGTGCCTCAGGGAACAAATCCAACGAACCCGAAAAGGGTGAAGACAGGCTTCCTGTTCCAAAGAGTGACAAGAGAAACATCCTGAACGGTTCGTCTGTCACAGGGAGATCCTCAGCTGACGTAGAGAACCCACAGCCTGGAGGAGATTCACCTCTCAAAAAGAACCCGTCTCTTAACAATAATCTGGAGCCTGGAATGGAAGACAGAGTTCAGACTGACGGAGTTGCTGTTCCCGCCAGTTCTCTCGGAGCCTGTGCCGGGCCGGCTGATCCCAAAAGTTCTCTTGGATCCGAAACAACCCCTGTTTTGCCAGGAGCAAACAAAGATTCTAATTTTCTGAAGTCAGGTCTTCGTGAAGTCCATGCCACTCTCGACACTGCCAGTGGTCTCGTTGGAGAACGTCAAGATCAGCAAATGTCGGAGAAATCTGGTGGAGCTTATGCCATCCCCGAGGGAGCACAAGCCGTGCCAGAAGTTCCCGGAAGTCCCCCAAGAGACAACGTCAGTGTAGCTGCCGGAAGGTTTTCCTTGGGGACCTATGACGACAGAGACATCCGGAAGTCTCCCGGGAAAGTGAGTCCTCTTCGCCATACAGCAAGGTCGCAGAGAGCTTGGAAGAATCCATTTAGTCCTGTCAAATCTGGAAGATCTTTAACCGATCCAGACGTTCTTGCAAACTCCTTTGAAATTGATCCAACTGCTGAAGCCAATGGAAAGTCCCTGTCAGCCTCAGGTGGTGGGATAACTTTAGGGAGTTCTCATGAGGCTCCAGGAAACCTTGACCGTCCTAGGAGTTCCCCAGGAGCGCGAGGCGGTCCAGGGATCGCCAAAGCATTTTCTGGGGCTGGCTCTAGTTCAAAGATGTCCCTCCTACCTCTGCCCCTGGCCCAGTCTGAGCGCTCAGCGGCCTCCACACCAGGACGAAGACGCCACCCCGCGGGTGATGTTGCCCACCAGAATGAGGCCGGAAGTTCGGACCAGGAAGATGCTGAGACCATGATCTAGCTATTCTGGGACGTCGTTTTATGTATGTTCTGTATATACCCATTTCCCCATTGTTCTTTATTTAAATAGAAATCACCCCGCAAGCACTCTGCCGTCTTATGACAAAAAATAAAAAATGTACACTATGCGTATTTAGGTCAAGTAGCTTTTTTTATACAGCCTTTTCATGGCGCGTTTTTCTACCTCGGTTCTATTTCTCTACAATTGAAATTAAGGAATTTTTGGGCTTTTTGAAAAATATACGTTGTGACCTAATTGCACATCGATGTTATGAAAAATTAAATTTGACTCAAGTATTCCATAACTATTTCCTGTATACCTCAGAAATTCCGACCGCCCAATAAATATTTACATAAAATAGGCAGATCAACCGAAATTTTAGTTAATTTGAAATTCGCACAAAAAGCTAGTTTTTGCCACTTGTAAAATTTCATTTTTGGCATATACGTTTTTCCGTGGCAAGACGGCGGGCATTGCAGATACCCATTTTCCCCACTGTTCTGTATAAGATCTATAACCACTTATACTAAGCACTGTATGTATATATACCCCCTTTCTCAATCTTTCTGCAGTAAAATAGAAACCACTTAGCTTTGAAGATACTCATTTTCACCATTGCTTGCGTTTATTATTAAGATAGAAACCACTTACTAAGCACTGCAGATTTAGTATTTTAGCAATAGTTCTGCACAAAGATAGAACCACTTTGCGCTGAAGATAATCATTTTCTCCATTGTTCTGCAGCAAGATAGAGAAACCCCTTCGTAATCATCTCTTTACAGAGAATCCACCTCGAAGAGAACCCCTTTTATTATTTCCGTTAGCGACAACACCCATAGTTTGTCTCTACATATAACCCAACTGTGTAACCCGTAATATATTCTGGCATTTGTCTTCATTATTAAGTTTGTATCATTATAATATACCATAAAAACTGTTTAAAAAAAAAGAAAAAAAGGAGAAAACTGTCATGTACAATTGAGATAAACTTTTATATCGCGAACACGAATACAACTGTATATTACGAACAATAATTGAGACAGAACTTTGTATCACGAATAATGATTTTAAAAAAGCTTTGCCAATAATTGAGAGAACTGTATATCCCGATCATTGATTGAAATAACCACTTGAAGAAAACTATATTTGTTTAGCTCGTTTATTTAAAGCAAAAGATTTTTAAACATTTACATCAAACTTAGAAACTTAGTGTCAATAAAGTTCGAGAGAAATCTAAAATAATACAGCAATAATCGATCCTTTGAGCAGATATATTTCTAAACTTTGCATCACTGAACACGCCTGTTACGATGGATGAGGCAGTATAAATAACACTTTAAAATCTTTAACATTCGTATAAAGAGCTTTATGTTCACCTGTGGGAGCTGATTTGATCAATATTTTATTTAAATCAATTTGTAAAAGACATTTTTATAGTTAAATTTTTAATAAGTAGAAATTCTGCGTTGTTCGCTAACATTATTAAATATTTCGATGTTGTGGCAATTGGTATTGTTTCTTTATTATTTTACTGCATTGTCTTCATTGTTGAGTCGCTCGTCTATATGTTCTCTGTTCACTCCAAAAAGGTTTTTATGTGGTCGCTTTTAAGCACGCGAGTCTCGAAAAGTACTCACTCGTCTGTTAAATTGAGCATGTCTTGTCCTTCAGGGTCAGCGTCCGTGTTCACACGTAGCCCCCATTCGTTTACGTTCACTGCCACGAACTCTTCAACTAAATGTGTGAGGCAGCGTGGTGGAATCAGGCTCTCGTCATAATAATGAAATCGAAGAAAACAGCAGTTTTCTCCCTGCTCAGCAATTTTTATCATTTTTGTTTTATCAACACCTTTTATGTCCATTACAAACACATTCCTTTGAGGAATTCACCGAAAACGTTGATTAAAGTAAAGGCACAAAAATATAAAAATAGTTTCCATGGACTCTCCAGCTTTGGAATTTACCAAGCTTTGGCGGCCATTGTCTCGCTAATTTTACCTCTTAAACCAGGTGACCCCCTCCTCCTTCAATCCAAAATATCTCCACTTCTATTGAAGATGGATGGGTAATTTTTTTCATTGAAAGCAAGACAAATAAACAAGCTTTAAGATGATACCAATAACTCAATATGCCCAAAAATTGACGAGAGCCTGATTCCACCACGCTGCCTCACAAATATAACCTCTTTGGTTGACTCTCTTTGGCCACCGTGCATTTTGTATCATTGAATGTGGCTTTTCTAGCTTGTGCTGGTTGGGGATTTTGTCATATAAGAAAATGTATAGTTGCTTTTAAGAACAAGCGGGCTAACACATATTTCGGGGGCTTCCAGAAATCTTGACCTACACAAAAAGTGGGCACTGCTCAACCTACAGAAGTTTGGTTTCATTGGTGTGTACATTTGTTAGGTTACAGTAGAGAATTCTCCTTGTCTTTTTAGGAAACTGAACAAGGAGCAATAACATTACCTTCGATTTTCTCAAAACAGCATTTTTCGGGATAGCCCCCTTGTGCGTAAAAGAGACCATATTATATTCAAGTATATTCAAGAGTTCTTTCGAAGATACATTTCGTCTTTTCGAGCCCACTGGGAGCCCTGTGGGTGTGCTAGCCAGTTATGGGTCAGCAAATATCTCTAGGAGAGTCCGTTGTACTGATGCACCCTGGCGACAGTGGGTGGCCCAGCTGAGGGACCAACGGTCAGCTACGTAGGTCATCTCAGTCCTGACAGTGAGAAGCCTCTGGGGAAGAAGACAGTTTAAAAATTATTGTTAGTCATGTGTGCTCGTACGCCCACTCTCCCCCTTTTTCTTCTGTCTTTGCGTCTGTGTGTCTGTCTCTCTCTATCTCTCTTTCTATCTCTCTCTCTGTCGCTCTCTCACTGTGTGTGTGTGTGTGTGTGTGTGTGTGTGTGTGTGTGTGTGTGTGTGTATGTATCTGTCTATCTCTCTATCTCCTCTCCCTATTTCTCTCCCCCTCTCCCTCTTTCTCTCCCCCTCTCCCTCTTTCTCTCCCCCTCTCCCTCTTTCTCTCCCTCTCTCTCTCTTTCTCTCCCTCTCTCCCTCTTTCTCTCTTTCTTTCTCTCTTTCTCTCTTTCTCTTTCTCTCATTCTATCTCTTTCTCTCTCTCATTCTATCTCTTTCTCTCTCTCTTCCCCTCTCTCTCTTCATCTCTCTCTCTTCATCTCTCTCTCTTCATCTCTCTCTCTTCCTTTAACTCTCTTCCTTTAACTCTCTTCCTTTAACTCTCTTCCTTTAACTCTCTACCTTTCTCTCTCTATCTCTCTCTCTATCTCTCTCTCTATCTCTCTCTCTATCTCTCTCTCTATCTCTCTATCTCTCTATCTCTCTATCTCTCTCTCTCTATCTCTCTCTCTCTCTCTCTCTCTCTCTCTCTCTCTCTCTCTCTCTCTCTCTACGTGTCTATGTCTAGTCTTTTTCTATCTGCAAGTGGTTGGAAAATGCTCTAGTGTGCTGTTCCTTAACAGCAACAGAGGATGAAAAAGTACAAAGGCAAAGTAACCAAAATACCTTCTCTCGGACAAAACCCGAGGCGTCACATCCCGTGTCACTGGGGTCGTGTAGCACATTGGTCACGGTGAAGAGTTTGAACTCCTGTCTCCCGGGATCGTACTCTACTTCCTCCACCAGCCACACTGTGGTGGCACTGCCGAAGTGGGACAGGATTCGGAAGCTTGCTCCTGACTGTACTGCAGACTTTAAGGGCTCTGTGGAGAGGGGAGGGGATGGGAGGAGAGGAGAGGAGAGGAGAGGGGGTGGAGGGTAAGGAGGTGAGAGACGGGCATGGGAAGTTTTTGTTGTTGTTGTTTTTGTTTTGTTTTTTTGTTTTTGGTAGTGTTTTTACGGCGCTCGCAACTGCATTAGGTCATATGAGCACGCGGGACAAACCTAATATTTTCAGTTGGTAGGAAATTTTGAATTTTGCCCGGGTGGTGGCCAAAGCCTACTCTTATCTATTTTAGACCATCAAGGGATTTTTTAAGTACGTAACTTGCATACGAGCCTTCTAAGATTTTTTCGCCCTTGTCCGAGAAGGCTAGGTGTAGATCTTTTCTACCCGAAGATCAGGATGTGGCTGAAAGACAACAGTAAGAAGAAGCTAAGGAGTAGCAATAGAAAGGCTGCAGAAAGAGTGGAGCCCAGAAGAGGGGGCGACGGAGGTGAGGGGGTGGGGGCAGAAAGTGGAGACGAAAGCAGACAACAGAACATTGCTAGAGATCGTAAAAGGAGATAAAAGGAGACAATTTTAGAGAAGAGAATTTTTCGGTCGCTACACGGATTCGAACCCACGACCTTTGAATGAGAGGTGAACACCTTAACCTCTAGGCTACGAGAGCCCCGGAGATGGGAAGTATGTATGATAAGAACATTGAGGAGAAAATGGGAGGAAAGAAAAAGCGAGGTAGGATGAGGGGGTTGGGGTGGAGCGGGAAAATGACAGAGAAAGAGTGGGGGAGGAGGGACAGGGAGAGAAAGACTGAAAGAGAAAGAGAGAGAGAGAGAGAGAGTAAAATGGAACAATAATTTCATGAGAGAGGGGGCACAGAGGGTGAGGACGGATGACGTGAATGAGAGAAAAAGAAAGAAATAGAGAAAGAAAGAAAGACAGGGCGAAAGAAAGAAAGAAAGAAAAAAAGAAAGAAAGAAAGAGGGAAAGACAGAAAGAGGGAAAGCGAGAAAGAAAGAAGGAAAGATAGAAAGAAAGAAAAAAAAGAGGGAAAGAAAGGAAGAAACAACTATTTTCTAACTCTTACCCAAACTGGCCGAGGAACAACACTGTGCATTGGTCAGTACCCGGTCGTGTGTGTGGGTGTTGGCGCTCCAGATGACCTGAGGGCTGACCATGTCTTGCACGCTCACTTGGTAGTCTTTGTCTACTGTCACAAGCTTCACGGATTCTTTCTTGGAAAACTGCACCCGTGAGAGGAAAGGGACGGGTTATTTCAGTCAGACATATCTTTGTACATATATTTGTGTATATCTTAGTACATATATTTGTGCATATCTGTGTACATATCTTTGTACATATCTTTGTACATTGTACATATCTTTGTACAATCTTTGTACATTGTACATATCTTTGTACATATCTTTGTACATATCTTTGGTACATATCTTTGTACATATCTTTGTACATATCTTTGTACATATCTTTGGTACATATCTTTGTACATATTTTTGTACATATCTTTGTACATATCTTTGTACATATCTTTGTACATATGATGAAAGGGGCCGGTTATTTCAGTGAGATATATCTTTGTGGGTGGTTGGCGGGTGCTCTGGTGTGGTTTGCTTCTTCTTTCCTATCAAACATCTATCTTCCGTATCTCCCCTTCTTCTTTTTTATGTTTGTTACTCTCTTGTAACACCTCTAATCTTCTGGCGCTCATATGACCTTATGCAGTTGTGAGCGCCGTAAAACCTCTACCAAAACTTAAAAAACGAAAAACATCTTTATACATATCTTTGTACTTGTGATGAAAGGGACCCGGTGTTTGAGAGAGGGAGAGAGAGGGAGCGGGAGAGAGAGGGAGCGGGAGAGAGAGGGAGAAGGAGGGAGAAGAGAGGGAGAGGGAGAGAGGGGAAGAGGGAAAGAGAGAGGGAGTGGGAGAGAGAGAGTGGGAGAGAGAGGGGGTAGAGAGAGGGAGAGCATGCTGTAGATCATGAATGTGCGTTATATATATATTATATTATAAAAACAATAAATTATTATTACAAGGTCTATCGTTGTTTTTGTTGTTGATGTTGTTGTTGTTGTTATTGTTATTGCTACTATCATTCTTCTTCTTCTTCTTCTTCATTTTCTTCTCCTCCCCCTCCTGCTTCTCCTTCTCCTCCTCTGACTCCTCCTCCTCCTTCTTGCTAACGACAGGATGAACGCACAACCCATACTATAGATCTACTATGAACATACCACAAACCGCTCCACCATCTGTAGACCGCTGCCGTTGGTGTGTAGTGGCACTAGTGTGCTGCGGCTGACACCCTGACACAGGGGCGTGTCCACACAGTGAATGACGTCAGGGTACACACGTTCGTCTGTCCGGGGACTCGAGTCCAGCTGGTAGGTGACCATGAACCCACCATGTCCGGACTGCACTTTGTCCAAAAGACTCTGAGAGTTCAGTCTGTGAGAGGTTGTATTTTAAGCCCCGGTTACACACACAGACAAAAATATTGTCGCTTTTAAGCACAAGGGGCTATCCACGAAAACTGCTGGTTTGAGAAAATCGAAGGTAAAGTTTTTGCCCCTTGTTCAGTTTCTTTAAAAGACAAGGGAAATTGTATCTATATCTGAACACATATGTATGCACACCGATGAAACCAAACGTCTCCAATAGGTAGGGCAATGCCCACTTTTGGTGTAGGTCATGATTTGTGGAAATCCCCGAAACTAGCTCGCTTGTCTTTAAAAGCGACTGCATTGTGTACAATGTTGTGATTACACTTAACGATTTGTCGTATGATCGTTCAGTTTTCAGTA